GGAAGCGCCAGCGCTACGTGGAGAAGGACGGGAAGTGCAACGTCCAGCACGGCAACGTGCGCGAGACCTACCGCTACCTGACCGACATCTTCACCACCCTGGTGGACCTCAAGTGGCGCTTCAGCCTCCTCATCTTCATCCTGGCCTACGCCCTCACCTGGCTCTTCTTTGGCCTCATCTGGTGGGTCATCGCCTACAGCCGCGGCGACCTGGAGCACCTGGGCGACCACAGCTGGACGCCGTGCGTCAACAACCTCAACGGCTTCGTGTCCGCCTTCCTCTTCTCCATCGAGACCGAGACCACCATCGGCTACGGCCACCGCGTCATCACGGACACGTGCCCCGAGGGCATCGTGCTGCTGCTGCTGCAGGCCATCCTGGGCTCCATGGTCAACGCCTTCATGGTGGGCTGCATGTTCGTCAAGATCTCGCAGCCCAACAAGCGCGCCGAGACCTTGGTGTTCTCCTCGCACGCCGTGGTCTCGCTGCGCGACGACCGCCTCTGCCTGATGTTCCGCGTGGGCGACCTGCGCGACTCGCACATCGTGGAGGCCTCCATCCGCGCCAAGCTCATCCAGTCCAAGCAGACGCAGGAGGGCGAGTTCATCCCGCTGGACCAGACCGACCTGAGCGTGGGCTTCGAGACGGGCGACGATCGGCTCTTCCTGGTGTCGCCGCTCATCATCAGCCATGAGATCGACGAGCGCAGCCCCTTCTGGGATGTGTCGCGGGGGCAGCTGGAGAGGGACGACTTCGAGATCGTCGTCATCCTCGAGGGCATGGTGGAGGCCACAGGTAAACGGGGCGGGGGTGTCTCGGTGCCGTGAGGGACATCTCATCGTCTTTGGGGGGATGCATTATGTTCTTGGGACACGTCATCTTCATGGGGACACATCTGTGAGGACACATCATCACCGTGGGACACCTCCATGAGGATGCATCATCTTCACGGAGACATCTCGTCTCCATGGGGACGTCATCTTCTTGGGATTCATCACCTTCGCGGGGACACCTCCATGGGGACACATCATCTCCATGGGGACACATTGTCTCCTTGGGGACACCTCCATGGGGACACATCATCTCCATGGGGACACATTGTCTCCTTGGGGACACCTCCATGGGGACACATCATGTCCATGGGGACACATTGTCTCCTTGGGGACACCTCCATGGGGACACATCATCTCCATGGGGACACACTGTCTCCTTGGGGACACCTCCATGGGGACACATCATCTCCATGGGGACACTTCATCTCTGTAGGACACATCCATGGGGACACCTCCATGAGGACACATCATCTCCATGGGATAGATCCATGGGGACACATCACACCCATGGGGACACCTCATCTCCATGGGGACACCGGGATGGGGACAGATAATGTCCATGGGGACACATTGTGTCCATGGGGACACCTCACCTCCATGGGGATACCTCATCTCTGTGGGGACATCTCATCCTTTGGGGACATCTCATCTCCATGGGGACACCTGAGCGGGGACACCTGAGTGGGGACACCTCACCTCCATGGGGACATCTCATCCTTTGGGGACATCTCATCTCCATGGGGACACCTGAGTGGGGACACCTCACCTCCATGGGGACATCTCATCCTTTGGGGACATCTCATCTCCATGGGGACACCTGAGTGGGGACACCTGAGTGGGGACACCTCACCTCCATGGGGACATCTCATCCTTTGGGGATATCTCATCTCCATGGGGACACCTGAGT